TCGACTGTAGTCAACTACAGTTATAGTCATCTAGTAGCCAAAAAGTCCGAAATTAGACGACTGGCTGAAAGAATAACTAAAAGTGATTGTTTCTATACAACATTTTTGAATTCAATCAACTTAGCCAGTTTTAGTTATTTGAAGTTACATACAAATGAGTGACTGCTAGTCACTTTATTTGCATACGGGAATGATCGAGAAACATTTGGGGTGTTCGCTCCTTACAAAGCATATGACCGGAGAACAATTGACTGGTTTCGAGAAGCTTTCAGAGACAATATGTTTTTTTAATGAAGCAAAGTCAATGTCAACAACAGAATCTATACAATGAGGTTTATTGTATGTATATTTCAATGGTCAAAGCAAAGTACAGAATACAGAGTATATTTGATTGGTACATTCACGCTAAACGAAAATTAAAGCTAGTGTTCCAATAACTCTTATAATCATCGAAAATTGTTTCCCAAAACCTTGTTCGATTTTCTATTGGATTTGTCTTTCGTAGTATTCCATCATTTGTGATATCAAAATAATTGAGTTGTTTCGATCCACGCACTTTAAATCCAAACAGCTCGTCGTTTGGTACCGGATTACTGGTTGAAATTGGAATTGGGTTTAATTAATAATTAGTTATTTTCATTTTCTCTAACTTTGGAATCATTAAGGATGTGAATGAATATTGAAGCAAGATCAAAGTTTACCTGAATTTCATGAAATCAGCATAAAAATTCGTCAAGACTTTCATGGTTCGGCGCTCGAGTGAGTTTTCCTTCAGGTTTCCTTCAGGCTTCATCTGGGAATATGTTTAAATGTTTGGAAAATCGGAAAATGTAATTCAATTGATCCGAGTGTGTTGGGTTCTTAAAATTGCTGTGTTTATTCTTGCGTGCACTCAAATTCCAGAGAACCTGTCTACAGAGAACCTAAAATGATATTTATATTTCGATGGATTGATTCAAATGTGATTCGAATATGTTACATGCTAAAGAATGTTCGTCCTTTGGATTTGGTTGCTTGGATGCGTAAATTTAGGACATTTCCATATGTAAATGCGATGTCTGTCGTTAATAAATCCACGCCATCCAATGTTTCTTTGCTTGCACGTTTTTCGTCAAGGTAAAAATCTCTGATTCTCTTCGCAAAATCTTTGTATACCTGAAATTCATGGAAAAATTTTAATTCTAAACAATTAAAATTGTTTTTTTAGTTGTTAGCTATTTTGCACCCACATTTGAATTGAAATCAACATGTGCCATTTCCAATGATAGTTCAATTTCAAACTTTTCGTCAAACCTTGCTAGGAATTCTGGATACACTTTTTGACTAGAAAATACTTCTTCCTGCGAAGAGATAAGACGGTTTGATGATAAAATTAACTCACGCATTTCAATGCTAAGAACATTTGTCAATATTTACCATTGGTGAGATGCTGAATAGTGTATCGATTTGACTTTCATAGCTTTGATTAGTTAGCATGTCAAAAGGTGTTTCTGTCATAAAAGGATCGATCGCATTACGCTCTTCAATAATTGGATACCATATACGGTCGAATGCTTTTCGCCCAGATATAGATAACCATGGAACAGTGGCTGTTTTCCTCATCAGTACGTCTTGATCGATGTCTTTCAACATCACAACGAAATCGGTTTGATTTGAAATTGTATAGTTTGGCTACAAATTTCGAAGAGAGAGAGAGAGTATGAATATAATGTTCAAAGTTTGCACATTAAGATACAAATAAATGAAACATTATTAATGACTGAGTTTCAAATTATTACGAAAATTATTCAAAAACTTTGAATGATTAAATCGTCGTGGAATAACTGGATTGAGCGCTGACCCGCTCATCAAAATCGCTTTT